AAACTGCTTTTGCTACAGTATTTTTTTACCATTGTTCTGTTGACCACCATAAAGAGAGCAAAAATGGTGAAAAATCCAAGCTATTGCTGTCAGCATCCCAAGGCTCACTTACCATCTATGCTCTGCCATTCCTGAATCCAATTGTCCATAGGATCATTTTCACTTCTTGATGATATTTGATTTTCCATCACAAAATAAATATTTTTGCTAATAGTTTCAAAACCGTCAACACTTTGAACAATGACACTCATGGAATTGTGAAGGTTGTGGTACATGCTTAAGTGACATGATGTTGGTGGTAAGGATCATAGTGTTTCAAAGTGATCATTGTGGTTGCTTTCATTGCAGTTGCTTTCATAATTAGTTGATAGGAGGCATGTGTATTAATCACAAAATGGATACTTTTGTACTTTGTTGTACTAGTACAGAAACAAGTGTGTACTACAAACTGAAATGTACTGCAAGAGTATCTTCTTGTTAGAGGTCTGTTTTTAATAAAAAAAGGCTGTCAAGCTTGCACTCACTAGATACTTGTGCTAACCCACATAAAGAAGAAATAAGGGCCCAAAACATACGACTGGTGTGTACATTTGGTTGCCAACTCTATATGATAAAAATTGTATCTTTAGCATCCAATCCAGCACCTCCTCAAAGGCCATCTGGACCACCCCCTAGACMACCTAGTCCACCATCAATGTCTACTTCCATTTCTTCAAAGATGTCTCCTTCAACAACTTCCCATTTGGACCCTTTGCCAACTTCATCAACATCAATGTYTACTGGCAATCCTTTTTTCAATACTAGGACATTGGGCCCATTTTYTGCAAGCAGTAGACCATTTGGCAGCGGTGAACAATTCTCTATGTCAGCATCTATTACCAGCAATGAACCATTCTTGACTGCTACTACAGCATCAGTCCCCCCATTTTCTGGTGCCAATAGCACATTTGGCCATGGTGAGCCATCCTCTAGTACTATATCAGTATCTACTACCAGCAATGAACCATTCTTGACTGCTGCTACTACAGCATCAGGCCCATTTTCTGCTAGCAACACACTTGGTGGCGGCAAACCATTCTCTACTAGTATGTCAGACCAGCAGCCAGTCATTTGCATCAGTTTTTGGCAGTAATCATGCTGATGCAGCAAGTGGTATATTTTTGGCCAATGTCCCTTCAGCACAGGTTCCAAAGTTGCTTTCACAAAAAATGTTGCCTCCTAGTAGGCAATGCCAAAGTCTGATAGTTGATCCAAAAATKTCACCTCCAGCACCAAGGCGTGTAATTCTAGACAATGACTTACTGCCCCCAACACCCTGGCAAACACCTGCTGCAAGAGGGCATGGAGGCAATGATTCACCTCCTGCACCAGTTGAAAGACCACCAGCATTTCAGACACATGTGCAAACACCTGCAAGAGGGTGTGGAGGAAACAATTCACCCCCTCATGCTAAGGCTTACAGAAAATGAATGTAAATGCAGTAACTTGCCAAAAAAAATTGGCTAAAAGAAAATGAGTGTACTTTGGAACTTGCATGTAAGA